AAAAAAAGTAGTTTTCTATTTGTGGTCTTTATGGAATTGCCGAGTGGAATCACGGAACATCACTGTTATTTTAAATGCTATTATGTTCTATAGTTTGTTTTGAGGTTATAGTTAGAGCTAAGAGTCTCTGTCAAACTGTAATCAAATAAAAATGTCAGTACTGGGTAGGACATTGTAAAGACTAGCAACACAAAAACTGACCCAATGTAACTTATTCCTCATTAAAATTTATTGAGTACAACTTTGTATTTCCCTGTTGATTTATATCTCTCACAGGATTTTGTAATAAACAGTGAAAACTAATCTTCTAGATACTTTTTTTTTACAGCCTTCTTTTAAAATTGCAAAATTTTATTGAGTCTGATATCTCAGCTGTACATTTACCCCCACAATGTAATGCAGTATTTGTAACTTTCTTCCAGTATGTTGATTGACACTTGAGGGCGCCATAATCAGTATACCCTATTTGTGATATTATTAGCCCTTACATAAATGACAGGTCAAAATAAACCAATAATAGATGGGCTAGTTTCCTAAATGATCTCATTGCCAGTGTTTGAAAACCTATCTATTTTATACTGCAATGGTTTAAGTATTGTACAGCCATACAATTACCCTAGAATATACCCGTACATGCATTCCTATAGACCACTTTCCCAGATAAGGAGTCTTGCATGCGCGCGGATTCCGTTTTGGGGTGTTACTTAAGCTTGCATGCATGATATTGTGCTTCTGGGTGTACCAATTGACGTAACAAAAATAAAATTCCCTTTTATCGACTATCAGCAATCTGACATGTTTGTACTTTCCACCGTGACAAAGCAGGAGTATTTTTGCACCCCAGTTTTGCTACTTCCGGGAAAGTGGTATATTGGTACAGTGTAGTATGTTCTTAATAGAAGTAATTTTGTTGTTATTTCCTGTAACAATACCAGCTTATACATGTATGATGGATTTCTGTAAAAGTTAGGTCATGACACTGTTGTTTTCAAAGCACATAGTTGACCTTATTTCACTGATTTTTACCTTGCTTGTATAAAGCGGCAAAATATGTCTGGGTTACCATGTCTATTATTTAACACTTTGCTGTGACCAGGATAACTCAAGTAATTTGTGTCCAATCTTAATTAAACTTAAGAGGTTTTCTCTCCTGCAGGTATAATATATCGTGATCTGAAGTTAGACAACGTTCTGCTTGACAGTGAAGGTCATATCAAATTAACCGATTATGGTATGTGTAAGGAAGGTCTACGTCCAGGTGACACGACTAGTACGTTCTGTGGTACACCAAACTATATCGCACCAGAGATACTACGTGGAGAAGACTATGGTGAGTATATGTTGATCTTTTCATCAGAGACTAATATAGACTTAGCAAGTAGTGTTTTGCAGGCTTATTATAGGCTGTAATTTTAGCAAGAGATCAGAATTTTGATGTTTTTCCCTTGAATACGTGATTTTAATTATACTGGAAATGATAAAAAGCTAGGAGCAGATGTGTTTATTTCAATGCGGTCACTGTCACACCTTAAGGTGTCAAAATTAAATTACACCAAGGTGTGTTAGTGATGACATTGCAATAGAACTAATCAACAATCATACTGGATATGCTGGAGTTGGTATGTTAATGGGCCAATAGACATGTAGAAACATAAACATCTGTTGTGTACTTCCACAGGCAATCAACCTGTTGTTGTTGTTGTTGTTGTTAAAGATTGTGTGTTACAGTTAATGTAAAATTGTCTACCACCACCAACACTGTTCACAATAAACTGAAAAATTACATTATAACGCACTTAGTTTCAAAGATGAAAGAATTATTGGCCGGTCACTAGTAGCATAGTGGTTGTCGCATCAGACTCGTGATCAGTAGACCCAAGTTCAAATCCTACCTTAGGCTGAACATCAAAAGGGTCGACCCATACCCTGGGTGAGTGTGCCACAGACTCAATGGGAAGGCCAATTCCACTGGCCGAGATTTATTCACTTACGAATGCGAATTTGGGGGAAACCTTGGTTAACGTCCGCAGATGTTTGTGTTCGACCGAGCCTGGTTGACGCCAGTATAGCACATTAAATTGCCATTTTATAGGAAGATGGCAGCACAGCCCTGTCACATAGTCCCAGACTTCTGTGGCAAAAACAAATTTCAGCACTAGCACTTGCGATTTACACATGCAAAAAAAAAGTCAGGAGAGACAACAGTGACATTCAATGTCAGGAACTGTCGCCTGGTACAAAAACATTTAAAAAAAAAAAAAGAATTATTGGCAAGACACTGTGGGCAGAAAGTAATCCCTAATGTCTTCAGTTGCATCTTTTGTTATCCATTGAAATTGAAATTCTGAATACTGTGTTACCACTATTAATACACCTAAGACAGCAGCAGAGTATCAATGGTCAGTGTATGTCATTTATGATATTAACTGAGATGCAACTTTAATAAAGCAGTATAATAAATACAGTATGGTGTGATATTAACGTAGTGGGTTACTGTCTAATTCATGTGTTTTATTTATGTTCAGATTTCAGTGTTGATTGGTGGGCACTTGGTGTACTCATGTTTGAAATGTTAGCTGGACGATCACCGTTTGATATTGTTGGAAGTGCTGAAAATCCTGATCAGAACACTGAAGATTATTTATTCCAAGGTAGAAACTGTTTCTAGTAACATTAGAACCATGTGTGAATTTGGTGATACTTTTGCATATTACAGTTATCATTACAGTGAACATTACAAAGGCTGTGTGTTTGATCCCCTTCAATTTGCCGACTACTCACTCAGTAATATTGATATATTTAAACAGATAAGGACTGTATGTGTAAGATATTGCTCAGCATCAATGAATAAACCATTTATTTTTCCCATTTTCAGTTATTTTAGAGAAACCGATTCGCATACCACGATCATTATCAGTCAAAGCAGCTTCAGTACTTAAGGGATTCCTTAACAAGGTAGGCAGACTAATCTAGAACTAGAAATTGGTTAATGAGTTCTGGCACACAGACACAAATAACTCTCATTTATCTGTGCATGATGCTATACTCTCTCAGTACATTGAGATTTTTTTTTAAATTTACTAAAAATCTAAATATGAATTTAGTTAAATGATATAAAGTGTGTATGAGAAGTGGTTGTTTTTTATTGTTTTCTGTTCTCAATTATCAAGTAAAGTATTAATTAATTATTACTAAGGTAATACTTAATAAAATCCAGAGAACTCCTACATATGGACTAGTAATGTTTCAGACCAGTCACACAAAAAATCACACTCTCCTCAGATTCACAGATTGTTAAATATAAAACAACTTCTTTTCTTCTCCATTTTATAATACTTTGTTTTCATTGATAGAATCCAGCAGAGAGACTAGGTTGTCATCCACAAACAGGTTTTGCTGATATCCAGTCACATCCATTCTTTCGGACCATTGAATGGGACCAGGTAGGGAATATAGATATTATGCTACTCATTGTTAGTGTACAATCAATATTCATATTTTTAGTTCCACTGTCGACTTTGTCAGGCGGAGCTCATCATATTAATTGTCAGGTTTCGTTCGCCGTCGCCTGTGTCAACTTTTCACTTTACAACTTCTTCTTGATGATACCTTTAATTCTCTAATTTTGATGAATATTTTTGTCGTTTTTTGGTAAGAAGTGATATTTTCGAATTTTTGTTGAAAACCACATTTTGATTGCTTTGATATTATACACCTCAGATAGACCTCTCTTATATTTGTTGAACCGCAAGTCTGATGGATTTGATATTATACATATATGTATAGGTACTACAGATAGACCTCTCTCAGAGTTGTTCATTTCCTGATGATATCTTCAGTTCTTTAATTGAAATGTGCTTTGCTAACAGCGGAGCTATCTCAGCCGACAGGCTGCTTGTTTCATATTTTCAAACTTTTTGCCTCAATAACATAGTTCAGTTTTGACCACTTGTGCCAGAAATAATTTCTCAAAATTGTGTTGCTAATTCAAATCAAAGTGTTTCTACAAATTATTTTTCAGATTGAAGCTCGTCAAGTAACTCCGCCCTACAAGCCCTATGTGCTCACAGATCGAGATTTAGAAAATTTTGATCCCCAGTTTACAAGTGAACCTGTACAACTCACACCAGATGATCAGTATGTAGTTCTTAACATCTCTATTCTAATTTGTGTTTCAGATATGAGACCTCACTCACATCTAGAGAAAGTGGCAAATCATCTATCTCTCAATTTCATTTTAATTTTAGCGCCAAAAACAATAAAATTTACTTCTCTGTAACAAGACATTCTGCATTTGCTTCAAACTTATCCGCACACATTCAAATTTTTAAAATTTGTCCTTATGTGGAGTGAAATTCGTCGCCAATATTGACACGTTCAAGGTTATTGATGTTTCATTTAAACACATGTGCACGATGGCAGTAGAATCACTGAACCACTGAAAGTAAACCCTTGCATAGCACAAAACATTTTTTGTTGCCATTTTGGGCGATAATCTTTCATTAAATTATTTTACAAGCAAGAATTATAAATATAAAGTTATCATGAGCATACCACAAAGTATGCATATGTTGTTCACTTGTCCATTCAATATAGCGCCCTGTATAATGCCCTGTATTGGTCTGATCATTTTAGTTACCATGCACTATTACACATATAAGCAAACTAAGTCATATTTTAATATTCCAATATACAATACGATTTTTGGCTCAAGTGTGTTTCTATAGGAGACGTGCTTGTAATAGAGCAAATATGGTATTTATAAATGGTGTATTCCCTCGAAGGCTCAGATTTCTTTTGATAAATAAATTCGTAGCATATGCAGGAGTTATGTGTTTCATACTGTAAAATGACTAAATTTCACTGATTTACCAATTCAGGCATATTAATGGGTTTTAAATTCACGGTTTTATCATTTGGATAATGTGTTTTATGCTAAATTTTACATATTCACTGGGTTTTAATTAAGCGCATTTTCCAGTCAGCGAAATAAGCGAAAATTAAAACCCAGTGAATAATTAATCCTTTTACAGTATTTACTTGTAGACCATTCAGCTATTTTGGAAACGGAGACTAAGTTAGGAAAAAAAATGGGTTTCTAGAATACATTGACAGTATATGTACTGGTGATGTTTGCCAATATTTTTCAAACCATTATACCATATCTGTTCTATTAGAAATGTATCTCCAATAGTAGCGCATATAAACTATAAATTGCATTGGCTGTATTCCAAATCATTAATTATTACAGCTCAGTTTCTAGTCACCGATTTAATTTATTCTCTTTCATTTTTCAACAGAAAAGCCATTAATAAGATTGACCAATCAGAGTTTGAGGGATTTGAATATGTAAATCCACTTCTTATGTCAGGTGAAGATGCTGTGTAGAACAACCAATCAGAATCAGCCATCATCAATCATATATCCATTACCAGTTTGAAGGTCTTAAATTGAGAGGTCCAAAATTGTTCTTAAACACATGGACCTATAAAATAGATTTTAATTTTAAGCACCATATGGATCTTAAATTGGTCTTAAATAGCAAAAGTATTGGTCAATGGGTCTTAAAAATGGCAACATATATGGGCTATTTATTCCCATTAGACGTCTTAAGACCCTGTGCAAAGGTCTATGATTTAAGAGCCTGTCAATAATGAGGTAATACTGAGTATACAAAGGGTAGGCTTTATTTTAAACATTCTTTTATTTAAAACTCTTCAAACTGGTATTGGATCTCTGGATTTACCATGAAGAGAACATTATATGAGACATTCTAAGAATAGCATGGGTGTGTGAAGACTAAATGTGATAGATATGGCGCATTAAATGTACAACTGGTATATTTAGCCAATCAGAACACAGTTTCATTACATAGTGGATGTGCCTGTCATATTTACTAAAACTTGTTCTCATTGGCTAAAACTTGCCCATATATGGTTATGAATTGGCTAAATGGTTTAAGTAAATTACATTAATTTATTACAGAACGTATCTATGTATGTTGCAGGGTGTCACTGAAAATGAAAAACTGTGTTGTGTTTCTAAATATCCTGCAAACTTTCCAAGTAAATTTGTAATGATTTTGTAAATTTGTAATAAATATAGCTTACTGTATGATGGTGTCAAGTATCAATCAAATTTTAACACAAAATGTCAATCAAAATGTATTCCTATGCTAATGAGGTACACATGCACCATTTGTATGCTAATGAGTACATATGCTGCTATGCAAATTTGTATGCTAATGAGGTATACATGCACAATTTTTATGCTAATGAAGTACATGTGCAACTTTGTATGCTAATGAAGTACATGTGCAACTTCGTATGCTAATGAGGTACACATGCACAACTTTGTATGCTAATGAAGTACATGTGCAACTTTGTATGCTAATGAAATACATGTGCAACTTTGTATGCTAATGAGGTACACATGCACAATTTGTATGCTAATGAAGTACATATGCTGCTATGCAAATTTGTATGCTAATGAGGTATGCATGCACAACTTTGTATGCTAATGAAGTACATGTGCAACTTTGTATGCTAATGAAGTACATGTGCAACTTTGTATGCTAATGAGGTACACATGCACAATTTGTATGCTAATGAAGTACATGTGCAGCTTTGTATGCTAATGAGGTACACATGCACAATTTGTATGCTAATGAAGTACATATGCTGCTATGCAAATTTGTATGCTAATGAGGTATACATGCACAACTTTGTATGCTAATGAAGTACATGTGCAACTTTGTATGCTAATGAAATACATGTGCAACTTTGTATGCTAATGAGGTACACATGCACAATTTGTATGCTAATGAAGTACATGTACAGCTTTGTATTAAAGCAAATGCAGTATATTATATTGCTAGGGGACTTTGTATGCTAATGCAGTATATAATGCACATTATGAATGCTGAGGTTTGTATTCTAATGAGGTACACATGTGATTATCTGTATGGTAATGTGGTTCACATGAAACTATTATACTGCTCATGCAAAATATGTATGCCAATAATGTCCACATGCTGACTGTATGGTAATGAGGTTCAGGTATTAACTATTTATGCTAATGAGGTTTTTTTGCTACTGGTTTGGTACTAAATATGCTAATGAGATACATATGCCTGTTAAATATGCTAATGAGATACATATGCCTGTTATAACTATAAAGATGTGCTTATATTCTAAATATGCTGATTAGTGCTGCACGTCTACTAAATATAGTAATTAGTTGTCCATGCTTACTAAGTATGCAGATTTAATATGCCAAGTGTTGAATGTTGAACCAAGTATGTCTCACATTTTCAGTGATTTCCTGTTTTATACAAGTTGTTTTGCATTAATGTGCATTCTGGGTGCTTATATTATGCAAACTTAATGGCCTTGACTGATTGATTACATGTGCCTTTATGGTGGTTACATTTTTCTTTTAAATATGTGACGATGTAACTCTTTGGTCTCTGTATAATTGTTACCACTAAAACTGTAAACCATTGAATTTTCACCCCTTAGGAATGTTTTCTGATATTTTGGTAAAGTCAATTTGACTTTTTTTCGTGCACGATTTATTTTCTATGGTACATGATTCATTATGTGCTATGGAATATCTTTGTAGTGTAGATGCAAAACTGTGCAAGATGGAACTGTCTTACCATATCTTGCACACACTTACCATATGTGTTTTTGTATATATATATATGTTGCCTATGAATAACATGAGTTCTTTTATTAAACTGCAATACATTCATATTGCTCCACTCACTTGACTTTCTTCAGTCCTTCAAGTTTTTTTTTATAATTTAAAGAAGGAACATTCTTGGGTTTCCTCATTTACTATGTTTTGTACTTGTATTATTAGCATCTCATTTGTAAATGGGATGGGGGAAGGGTTGGGTTCAATTTGTGGGGTTGAAACATTGAGTCAGACCTTGTGTCTGAAAAGTTTTGGATGAAACAGTGCTGAGAAAAGGCTGTAGAAAAAGTAAAAAGTTTGGAAGTGTTTGGTTAACACGTGGCGTTGAAAAATGCTAGGTCTTGATGTGTTGAGTGAAGAATTACAATGTTAAGGAAGAAGCCTAATCATGATTTAAAATACTCAGAGAATTTATTCATTTAACAATAAATTGTACGTCTGGGCAATATAAGGATATTGACTTAAACAAATAGTGTGGGGGTCACCAGCCAGGAAAATGATGGCTGTATTTTAGTGAATTGTGATATTATAGTGCTTTTACCATGGATTCCTATGGCAGAGATATTATGTTATATACTATGAATGATGGGGTATTTATTGTCTTTTTCAATTATTTCAGAAATCTGGGTTTTTAAAAGTGACAAAAAATGCAACTTTTCTTTAACATTGTGCTCTGTGAAATTTTTGAAAAACATTAGGACAAGTTTCTCAAAACACACAAAAGAATTCTAGTTTATGGTTCCTGGAGACAATAGCTTCATGATTTTACACAAATAAATGAACATTGTCATGCGATTTATGACCAACTTTCTCAAAAATTATGAGTACCTAGGCTTCTACCTTAACATTGATTTGCTTATTTGTGAACATTATCACTGGAGCATTTTATTAATCATGAAATACTATTGTCTAAACATTTGCTTTGCATAACTTTGTCCAATCACTGTTGAGGTTACTTTTGAGGGGAGATAACTGTGCCTTTATATAAGAAATGTTTTTTTCTTCAAAGATTCTCGCAAAATTTGGATTTAATTGCCTCCTATGAATAAGGGATGCAGTTTATCAGTTCTGTTTACAACACTCTGAGTAATTACATGTCTGTTATTGGAGTATATCGACTCACAGGTGAAATCCTTCGGTTATTTGTTGTCACTTCAATAAGGTGCATTGTTTATATATTTTCATGTAGCCGAGTATATTTTTTACAAGTATATATTTAAGTCTTGCTAAACTTTCTAGCATTTTGAAACAAATTTATTTGCTTTATATTTCTAGTTTTTGTTTTCTGAGAAATAACGATACACCTCACAGTAGAGGTAGTTTTGTACCGGGGAACAAAAAGGATGCTTTTTTTGTACTTAATTTACTTGGTAAAAAACTGTATTGTTAATAAACATAGTAGATCTGATCACCCTGGCTCATTGTTGTGTACACTGTGGATTTAATTTGTTGTCTCGCGTCTTGTTTGATACAAATCTGATGAAATTACATGTATAACATCTAATGCTTAAAGGCCCAATTCACTTGCCCTGGGCAAGTGTGAATTGGAGGTGTGGCTATGCTAATGACTGTTGTTAATCACTTGCATAGCCTATGACGCATCCTGTTTCAGCGGTCCAACATCACGTGACTTTGATTGACAGGAGTTAATTATTCAAGATTAAAAGCGCGTCCCTTTCCCCGGTTCGTGTTTTTTGACTTTTATCCGCCAAAATCTCAGCTCACACTATTGTCATAAATACTAACACAGTCACTGCTGTGATATTCATAGTCACATGCATCCACTTTGGCACGACATAATCGACCTGCAAGTTCGAGAAAAAGCGTTTTACCGGAGCGGTTTACTACAGCGTGACAAGCAAGGAAATGATCCCTATTGTTTATAGTATATTAGGTCTTTAACGACTGCGTTGCGCATGTTGACATGTACACCGTGATGTAAATATACCTTGTAGGTTTCACACCTGAAACTAAAAGTATATACTTCTGTATTTGAAGAAGCATGGTGTGAATATAACACCACTATTTGTTTTGTGAATTAATATGTTGCCATGGCAAAACTAGTATCAATATGTACCACAATTTAATTGTTTGTAATGTGATAGTTTTAAGAGCCCATTGATTTGAACATTTATGTTACAGTACTTTGGTCTACTGTGGTACGCTCTAATTGCTGGGGCAAACTATTTTTGTTGTTAAACCTCATGTATTTAAGAGTTTTCTGCAGACTTTTGAGGGTATCATCATTATGCATCTAGCATAATAAGACTTTGTAGTGATTTCCTATAGGTTAACGACTAGGTGAATATCGGTAAATTAAATCTAAAACATTCATTGAGGCAAATGCTCGTCAGTTATCAACATTCAACATCATGCTGATTTGTTTGAGGTCAGTAAATTATGAATGCAACACAATTCATGGTATTAAAATAAAAAAATAATTCCACCTTTTCACTTATCCCAAGAAATATGTTTGAAGCCAAGGTTAATTTATTTGGGGAATGGGAGCATATAAACTGCAGATAAGATTCCAAACTCTAAAAAGTCCACTAGCTTTATGAACTTTTAATAGGATGTTATTGGATTTCTGCTTTTGAAAACATCCGGTCTAATTCAGTCATGACGATGCCCTCTAGTGGCAAGGATGTACATAATGCACTATTCCTGTTTATGGGCTCGTATACTATAACATAATTCTATAAGCCTCTGTGGTACACAAGTTTTAGCTTTGAGTAATGATGTATTCCATATTTTGGGGCCAAACACTGTCAAGGTCTCGGTGACTCGATACCAAACAGCCTGGAAAGATTGTCAGATTAAATGAATGCATGCCTCACAGTTGGTTAATTATATCATTTTCATCTTATTTTCATCTACATTCCTATGACATCAAAGAGACATTGCTTCTCACTGCAGTAGGAGCATTGTCAATTTTCATCCATAACTGCTACCTTCCTATGACATCTAATCAAAGAGACATTGCTTCTCACTGCATTAGGGACATAGTCAATTTTCATCCATAACTGCTACCTTCCTATGACATCTAATCAAA